CTTCCAGTTTCATTTTTTAATCTATTAGTGTGTATCATTGTGAACATTAAAAGCCTTCAAATTCTCCTTCTGCTGTTTTTCTTGTAGATAATTAGTTTAACTGAATTAGCACCAGTTGTCACATATGTCACACATGACATAGGAGCAATGATATTGAATCCTTCACCTTCATCTTTCAATCCCTTATCTCATTATCTACATTAAGAACCTTGAATACTTTCGTCTACTTTGCCAGTAAATTCGTTTAATCGAATTTGCACCGGTCACATATGTGACACATGACATAAGCACAAGATAATCTGTTACCGTATCTCATTGTCTAAAGTTTCTAAACTTTCTACTATGTAAATTAGAAAATGTTCAATTCGTGAATTAATCCGATCAGCATGTAATGATCAACGGCGAATAGCAATGTTGTTAAAAAAAAAAATAAAATTGATTCGAAACAATGGCGACATACGTGTACATACACGATAATTGCGAAATGGAAGAAAAACAATTAACAAAAGATTTTTTCGTCGACTCGAAGCTGTTGAATTGCGAGGTACACCTTGTTGTATACTTGACCCCATGACTTTTATCGATATCGTGCATCGCAAGACGTGCAGGAAAATTTTGCGTAGGTAGATTCTCAGACGCAACTAACCGTGTAATGTGTACCTATCTGTGTTCTATCAGCCATACGTTTGCTCGTTTCACAGCTGTCTTCTCGTGGTTATTGCCTACTTATCATTCGCTGACTAATATCTCCTACTTTATATCATCGAATCAAAAACAAGTTATCGTCGAGGCCTTTTGGAGTCGGGTTTTATAATTACTCGACCCCGTTAGTCGATTGCGCGACGAATCATTATCGGAATAATTTTAATAACATTCTATTAGGAACCTTTTTTTCTGTTATTCCTTTCTGTGGAATTTTTTTTAGGTCAAGTTGTTCGCTGCTGTTTGTGTTAATCGATTAGAAGGAGTAGATGTGTGTAGTAAATTAACAGACTTTTTTATTCGAGTCGGTACATTTTCAGATATTTGACTGGCAAATTTGCTTCTTAAATTTCTATATTTCTAAATTCCAAAATTTCGATTTTGTAAATTTTATAATTCACTCCCACTTCCTTGAATTCCCATTCTCCCAAATTTTCATTTTCCCAAATTCCTATTTTCTCAAATTCCCATTTTCCTAAATTCCTATTTTCTCAAATTCCCATTTTCCCAAATTCCCATTTTCCCAAATTCCAATTTTCCAAAATTTCCATTTTCTCAAATTCCTATTTTTCCAAACATTCATTTTACCAAATTCCCATTTTCTCAAACTTCCATTTTCCCAAATTCCCATTTTCCAAAATTTCAAAATTGTTGAATTCTCAAATTTCCAATTCCTCAAATTCTCCAAAATCCTCAGATTCCGCAAAATTCTCAAATTCCCCAAAATCCCAATTTCCCAAAATTCTCAAATTTCCCAAAATCCCCAAATTCCCAAACCCCTAATTCCCTAAATCTGAAAATCCCCTAAGCTCTCCATCTCCCAAGCTCGAAAACATTTAATTTCCTTCGCCTTCCCCATTTTCTAACAATAGAAACAATTTCTCCACAAAAAACTTACGTCTCCTCCACAATACAGATTTTTTAACTAAACAATCAACTAACAACACTATCACAAACCAATAAAAATTTCAATATTCCATCGCGTAAAATTTTTGAAAGTAATAAGAGGTCAAAATTTTGTCGGAACGTAACTTGCAGATACTGTTATCGTACGATAAGCTATAAAGCCACTAACTTCAAATTGTATTTGCAAAATTTATCACAAATTTATGTAACAATATATCTATCATCAGGAGCACGAAGAGATTAATTATACAACCGAATTTCAAAAGAGATTTACAATATTGGTACACTTTTTAGGAGGTCTTTTTATCAGTCTACGAAACAGGCTTTTTAGTTCCAACGTTGATGGCTATCGGATATTTGCTGATAGAAAAAAAAGAGAAGATACATATCAAATATTTTTTCGAGTTTTGTTGCCTTACTAAAAAGGCAAATAATGACGGTTTACCTTTCAATTAATACGAAAAAATCTCGTATTTCGGTATGTAGCATAGAGATCGTCTCTTTCAAATAAAATGACAGTGTCATGGTGGCACAAACCTAAACCTCGTTCATGTATGAGCGATATCACGTTCGAAGTGTTAGTTGAACAATGATGTGATCGCACTAGTTGATTAATAAAAATCTTCTACGTAAATAAATGATAAGACTAGTGCTGTCATTAAAGTCGAAACGTGTCTGTAGACATTTTTGGAACCCTCTAGGTTATCTGAAATTCCACCTTTTCTAAGAAGTTAAAAATTAAGAAACCAGTCTGCGAACCAATCTGTTCGCTACTAATACGGAGCTCATTTTTCGGTTCTGACCAAATGGAGACGTAGCGATTTAGGGGCGTAGATATTTATGAACGTAGCGATTTGGGGATCTAGCGATTTGGAGATGCAACTACTTTCGGATGTACCGATTTGGGTAGACAAGAATTTGGGAATGGAGGGATTTGGGGACGTAGCGATTTGGGGATGTAGGAATTTGGGGATGTAGAAATTTGGGGATATAGCGATTTGGGTATGTAAGAATTTGGGAGTGGAGGGATTTGGGGACGTAGCGATTTGGGCATGTAGGAATTTGGGGATGTAGAAATTTGGGGATATAGCGATTTGGGTATGTAAGAATTTGGGAGTGGAGGGATTTGGGGACGTAGCGATTTGGGGATGTAGAAATTTGGAGATATAGCGATTTGGAGATGTAGGAATTGGAGGATATAGAAATTTGGGCATGTAGGAATTTGGAGATATAGCGATTTAGGTATGTAAGAATTTGGGAATGGAGGGATTTGGGGACGTAGCGATTTGGGGATGTAGTAATTTGGGGATATACCGATTTGGGAGTGGAGGGATTTGGGGACGTAGCGATTTGGGGATGTAGAAATTTGGAGATATACCGATTTGGAGATGTGGGAATTGGAAGATATAGAAATTTGGGCATGGAGGAATTTGGGGATATAGCGATTTGGGGATATAGCGATTTGGGGATATAGCGATTTGGGGATATAGCGATTTGGGGATATAGCGGATGTAGTGATTTGGGGATATACCGATTTGGGAGTGGAGGGATTTGGGGACGTAGCAATTTGGGCATGTAGGAATTTGGGGATGTAGAAATTTGGGGATATAGCGATTTGGGTATGTAAGAATTTGGGAGTGGAGGGATTTGGGGACGTAGCGATTTGGGGATGTAGAAATTTGGAGATATACCGATTTGGAGATGTGGGAATTGGAGGATATAGAAATTTGGGCATGGAGGAATTTGGGGATATAGCGATTTGGGGATATAGCGATTTGGGGATGTAGGAATTGGAGGATATAGGAATTTGGGCATATAGGAATTTGGGGATGTAGAAATTTGGGGATGTAGAAATTTGGGAATATAGCGATTTGGAGATGTAGGAATTGGAGGATATAGAAATTTGGGCATGTAGGAATTTGGGGATATAGAAATTTGGGGATATACCGATTTGGAGATGTAGGATTTGGAGGATATAGGAATTTGGGCATGTAGGAATTTGGGAATGTAGAAATTTGCGATATAGCGATCTAGGTATGTAAGAATTTGGGAGTGGAGGGATTTGGAGACGTAGCGATTTGAAGATGTAGGAATTTCGAGATACCCCAATTTGTGTACATAAAAATTTGATAATCGAGTGATATGATGTACCGATCCAAAAGTGTAGTAATTCCGAAATATATAGATTCTATTCTAACCAAATGTAGCTCTCCTAACATGACCCTCTTCCCGCGCCAACTCGTCGCCATCAGTACGATCAATCGGTACCTCCGCCGCACTAAAATTTCAGCCACATAAACGCGGTTGCACCTCTACATACCCTAACATAATTATATTAGTAAGCGCGTACTACAGTATAGGTACAGTAGTGTACGAACCCGTCGTGAAGGTGGCAATCATCCGCTAATAGACGGGCGTTAAATCAACGTTGAATTACAATAGTGGAAGAAATATTCCGTTGGCAGAAAATTATTTATCGAATTCGAAACGACCAGGATGCGACTGTCCACGGGCAGCACATCGAAGGAGTTAATTATCGGGCGTGAATTATTTATCGCGGTAAAGGGATATCGTAATAAACGCGGACGACGATGAGTTGCCGTTTTATGAACGCATTGCGTCTGTTCGTTTCGGGCTGTCCGCGTGTATCCTTGGCCATAATTGTCCTGCGTCCCTTCAGACGCATCGCGAATTCTGCGATGCATATTACAATGCAACACGCGATAGCACGGAGACTCGCGTCGACTCACGTGTCGATAAACGAACGCATAAAGTACACGCATGTCGCTGGAACCGACTACATCCTTGGCGTAAAGTGCACAATAAAAGAGATTCGAATGCGTGGACGTGGGGCAATTACGGTTACACGTATAATATGCCGAGTCAGATATCGTGAAAATTGCCAGCTATTCGACAATTGTTCGCAGTCGTAACGGAGGAAAGTGCAGAAAAGACTGCCACGCGCTATGCAACTTGCGTGTTTCGTGTGGACGCATACTTACGTGGTTAGCTAAGTCTTAAAAATTTGGAAATTTGGGAAGTTTCAGAATTTGGAAAGAATTTGAAAGATTTGAGAAAGAGGAAAGTGAGAAGATTTGAAAAAGTAGGCAAACTGGTAAAGTTGGGGGAGACGAAAAATTTGAATATTCTAAAATTGGAAGAATTATAAAATTGAAAATTATAAAATTGGAAGGACTATGAAATTGAAAATTCTAAAATTGGAAGAATTGTAAAATTGAAAATTATAAAATTGGAAGGACTATGAAATTGAAACTTCTAAAATTGGAAGAATTGTAAAATTGAAAATTATAAAATTCAAAGGAGTAAAATTGAAAATTCATGTTATGGAAATATTATAGAAATTCATTAATATATTTTATTTTTTGTTGCAGGCCTAGCCCGTGTGAACTACAGGACCCGTTGTGGGTCAAAATGAGTGCGATTACTGGCAGCATCACCAAGAAAAGAAAGAAATCCGATGCCAAGCCTCAGTCGCAGATGTAAGTACAAATTATAATATATCTTCGTAATTTTTCATTTCTTTATTCTAACTTATCAAATTCCCTATCTTGTAACATTTATTCAGATCTAACTTAATATTAGTAATATAAATGACTAATAATATAAATTTTAAGTGTTTAAATTGAACTAACAGTTGGAAAAGTATATATTTTTAAATTAGAAAACTTACTATTTACTGAAAATTACGTTTGTATATTTTTACAAAATTATATCGTGCCAGATTTTAATCAATTTTCCTCAAAAGTGTGACTCTCATGTTATCGTCGCGATAAACTTGCAATGTACTAACAAATAAAGACTGTTGCATCTACTAACATTTCGTAGAAGTTATTACGATTGTGATCGAAGCAAATGGGCCGAGATTATTGTAATTATGTTGGGAACGTGTGTTACTTAAAATTATATTACTATTATAAATGGGACGAGTTGGTTAAAATTATTACCGCTATAAACGGGCCGGGTGTTTCTTTAAATATGTAAATTGCGTAAATAAAGTGTACAAAATTGAACGTTGTATTAAGTTAATGCGAATCTTGGTCTCGGTTTGATGTAAATCAACGTGAAAATAATGGTCAAGGATTATGTTAAATATGTTGTTTACGATAGTAAAATTTTAAAGGATTGAAAAGTCTCGATTTAAAGGAAAAGAGAGAAGAACAGACATTTCTAAACATTACAATGAATTTAAACCTCGTGATTGAACTGTTAATTATTAATTAGCTATTTCTTACTGAACATACTACATTATCGTTTAACTACTTTACTCTCTCTTACTTTTACATTTTTACATTACGTTTATGTTACATTTACTATTTCTTACTTTTACATTACATTTACATTTATTGTTTGTTACTTTCATGTTTCTGCGTTACACTCATGTTACATTTATTATTTCTCACGTTCACATTTTTATGTAAATATTATGTGACGAACTTCGTAACAGTGACGCACTCTCACCTTGTGTGACGCATCGTATCACATTGTATGACGCACCCCGTAACATTCTGTGACGCACTCTGTAATAATGAAGAACGCACCCTATCACATCATGTGACGCACCCTATCATATTGTATGACAAACCCTATAACATTATGTGACGCACTCTATCATATTGTATGACGCACCTTGTCCTATTGTATGACACAACCTGCAACATCATGTGATGCACTCTGTGACAGTAAATGAAGCACCCTATCACATTATGTGACGCACCCTATCACATCATGTGATATTAATAGCACCCTGTGATATTGTATGACACCCTACAACATTACATGACGCACCCTATCGTATTGTTGACGCACCTTGTCGTATTGTATGACACAACCTGCAACGTCATGTGATGCACTCTGTAACAGTAAATGAAGCACCCTGTCACATTGTGTGACGCACCCTATCACATCATGTGACGCACCCTGTGATATTGTATGACACACCCTATAACATTACGTGACGCACCCTATTATGTTGTATGACGCACCTTGTCGTATTGTATGACACGACCTGTAACGTCATGTGATGCACTCTGTAACAGTAAATGAAGCATCCTGTCACATTGTATGACGCACCCTGTCACACTGTACGACGCACTCTATCACACTTTATGAAGCACTCTGTACTATTGTATGACACTCTGTCACATTAGGTGACGCACCTTATCATATTGTATGACGCACGCTGTCACACTTTACGACGCACTCTATCACACTTTATGAAGCACTCTGTAACATTGTATGATGTGCCCTCTCACAACATACGACGTACCCCAACAATATGTAACATATATGCATATGTATGAACATACAGTTGCATCGAAAAGAAATTCGTAAAATAAATTCTATGAAAAACGTTGTACCAAACGAGCTTTAATCGAGGCAACGTTAATTTGCCGCGCAAATAAATTGTAGAGTTCTGAATGATTTCGCAATCGGTATCTTTTGTAGAATATCGGAATTGCCTCTAACAACACGCTAGTTACCCGATGCAAATTGTAAGACGGCTAATCGCGAGACATAAAAGGCAGAAAATATTGGTCACAGTTGAATTTGTTTGATTGATCGTAAACGTCCGCGTGCACTTCCGCATTTTATTTCAACCCTTTTGCATATTCATCGGAACGCGTTTATACGCATAAAAGCGGCCATAATTATCGGACTAAACGCGATAAGTAAAGCGAACGTTTAACATGCAGCATGGGTCCATTTTAATTTGATACCTATCTAGTTCGTCGGGAAGTTAAATCATGCGTATCCGCTGCGCGTGTCAGTGTCGAACGACGGTAGTTTTCGAGTTGATAGCGGCTTGTATAGTTTAATTATAATAGTAAAAAAAGCGGAATTCGTCCGGGAGAAAAAAACAGTAAAACGTACGATGAAAGAGCGTAAATTGCTCGTTACGGATTATAAATTTGATCCATAAGGAAACTTTTGATATACTCGGTGATTTGATTTCCCTTTAAAGTTTCATCGTTTCTGGAGTTCACTGCTTTTTCGCGAGTAATCCTGACATAGTAGTAGTGTCGTATACGTTGGTTAGATGCTTCCTTGAAAATGGCGCTTTAAACTGATCGTTGCAACTGTCGTATCATTTAGAGCAGTGGTTCTTAACTTTTTAGAAGTCACTTCACTATTCAGCAAGTTTGTAAGACTTTCAAATTAGAAAAGTTCATAGTAATTACAATTTTAGACGATGGAAATTGCTTTGAGTGGAAATTTTTTCATTTAGAATATTGTTCAGTGTTATTAAAGACTATTCTAACTTCTTAAACATATAAAGTTTCGTTCGATGTATCTTTTGATTTACGAACGACCAATTGAATCATTGACATATTTAAATTGAAATTAAGTAACAAAAATATATAACTTGTACAATGATTCTTTATTTTGACAAATGTTAACATTCTGACGGAAGCATCTCAATAATCTGTGTAATGCGATATAGGAAATGTACGATCCGTTATTCTGATGGGTTCCGTAAGTATAGTGTCGAGAGTAGTTTACATCACGGTTAATAACCAAATAGCTGGATACAACCTTAAAGACGAGAAAAAAAGAACTTGTATTATTGCATGTTCAGGCTCGGTCCACAGGTATTTAATGTACTCGATATACCAGCTTCTCGATAAGAAAAACAACAATCCTTTCACTTTTTTCACCGGCGTATTATACCGTTCGAAGTATGTTATTAGTTCTAATCCAGGGTGGAAGTTTTATAAGGCGAAACGGTCGAAAGATCAGCAAGTACATTTCATCTCGGTTAAAAACTCGCGACTCTTACTTTCCCGGCACGTTGATTCGTTCGAGTGATTACCAGAGCACCGATCGCAAAAAGCATCAATCATCGACGTAGCGGCTGGCTTTTTGCATCGTTTCTTCGTCTCCATAGGATTCATTTATCGGCTGTACTTTTTTTTCGCAAAAAATCACTCGGTTTATCAAAAGTTCATACATACGAAATACATTCGAGAGAGAGAGTGTTCTCTCGCGAGAAATGGTCCAGTATGTCGACGCGTTCCCCGCGACCGATTCGACATTAAACGTCCGAGCCGGTAAAAAGAGATTGAGTGCATCGCGTTCAGACATACCGTGACGAGAAGCAACTCGGTGAAAGAAAAAAGAAAAACCCGCCGAGAGTCGTAGACAATCGTGCGAACGAATTGCACTCGAGTCCGTAACGAAACATCGAGAAACTGCGTTGGCGAAGCTCTCGAAGATGAAGCAACTTCATCGCGATGGAAGGATTTACACGCAGTTGGCCTTACCGAAGTGAGAGTCACTGTTCAACGATGTGACGTCACGCAAGGTCAACTGAACGTTTCAACGGGACTAAAGTTGATTCAGCATCTAACAATTTTCTTTCTATGAAATTTGCTAAACGAATGGCTTGCCTCGAGTCCTCGTTTCGCCTCCATTAAAGCGTGTTCGCTGTAACTCGAGACCAAACTTGGGTCTGATCTGATCACGCATTTTTTCACTTTCGTTACGTATTATTGGAAAGGATTTATAACGAGAGAAATTGCTTCTATACATTTATTTTAGCTCCAATCAGAGTGGTCAAATGACAGTTTAACCCTTTGCACTATTTTGACTCGTGACGTACAGCTGGGATTCGAATTTTTAATATACTTCAACTTGGAGTTCGAGTATTTGCATAGTCGATTGATACCAAATTAACATTACAACTTTGTTTTAACAGTGTGATTAGGTTTGACTGACCTGACAAATCATAATGCAAGAGTTCATGAAGATTAGCTGAATCTTTCAGTGGGACTAAAGTTGATCAGCATCAAACAATTTGACGTAACATTTCAACTTTGTTTTAATATTGTGATTAGGTCTGACTGACCTGACAAATCATAATGCAAGAGTTCATGAAGATCAGCTGAATCTTTCAGTGGGACTAAAGTTGATCAGTATCAAACAATTTGACGTAACATTTCAACTTTGTTTTAATATTGTGATTAGGTCTGACTGACAAATCATAATGCAAGAGTTCATGAAGATTAGGTGAATCTTTCAGTGAGACTAAAGTTGATCAGCATCAAACAATTTGACGTAACATTTCAAATTTGTTTTAATATTGTGATTAGGTCTGACTGACCTGACAAATCATAATGCAAGAATTCATGAAGATTAGATGAATCTTTCAGTGGGACTAAAGTTGATCAGCATCAAACAATTTGACGTAACATTTCAACTTTGTTTTAACATTGTGATTAGGTCTGACTGACCTGACAAATCATAATGCAAGAGTTCATGAAGATTAGGTGAATCTTTCAGTGAGACTAAAGTTGATCAGCATCAAACAATTTGACGTAACATTTCAAATTTGTTTTAATATTGTGATTAGGTCTGACTGACCTGACAAATCATAATGCAAGGGATCATGAAGATTAGGCGAATCTTTCAGTGGGACTAAAATTGATCAGCATCAAACAATTTGACGTAACATTTCAACTTTGTTTTAACATTGTGATTAGGTCTGACTGACCTGACAAATCATAATGCAAGAGTTCATGAAGATGAATGTTTCAGTGGAACAAGATCGGCATCAAACAATTTTTTTTCTATGAAATTTGTTAAATGAACTTCATTAAATGAACCTAACCTAACCTAACAAACTTTACTGAATATTTTCACAATGAGTTTTTTTATTATTTACAATTGCAAATGATTAGTAATAATATTTGAGATTAGGTCAGTGAACAATTTCTTAATAGTATGATTCGTACGAAAATTTGAATGTCCACATACGATGCAGTTTGCATACGATGCAGTCATACGAAAACTTTCTCGGCGTCGCACAAGTTCGAATTTCCGTAAACCTACAGATATAGTTTAAAGCTAAAAGGGAAACTTTACCTAAATCTTAAAGTCTGAACCCCTGTAAATATGAATTAGTCTAATTGCAACTTCGTATTGCATTTCCTGTTCAAGTATCGTTTGAAAATTATTGCATCTACAAAATGATTAATTTGCAAATTGGGATCATAGCATGATAAATATAAATAAGATAGAAATTAGTAATAAAGAGAAATATGTAAAAAAATTGTAAAATTTGTCTCAACAGTCGAAGTGTCGAGGTGGGTTCATAAATTGATGTTTGCCTACGGAATACAAAAAATACTATTTTCTATTAGTTAGTGAACTTTCTTGAGAACAGTTCCCTAGAAAATCAGCGAGCTTCTAAACCGTGTAACGGCTAAAGATAATACGACAAATAGGGCAAGCTTAATGGGAAGAATAAATCATCATTGGAATGACAATATCCACTTGTGGGAAATGGCAATTAAGCGCGCAGGAAGCCTCCCGTGTAGAACATAGTAATCAGTCCCAAAGGCAATTCAACCGAATGTTAAAATATAACATAAATTACTTTATACAGCGTGCTTGGAAAATAAATACTTTGAAACTGCATTTTTATGTCTGTAGAGAAAAAAGGTTTCGTTCGTAAAGACAGCTAATAAAACTTCGGTTCACATCGAAGATGAAAAGTGATTGCAAGAAATTGCTAGGGATTAAATTGTGAGTTCTTACGGTGTTCAGCAGCGTGAAAAATTCAAGGTTTCCGGTAGGAACTTGAAAACAGGTCGAAAAGTTATGTACGTCGCAGTGTACGATTACAGGAAAGTAACAATTTGTGTTAAATATTTTGTACCTTTTCCTGTTTGGCAATATCGATAATTAACGCGCTTGGCGACGCTCGAAATAAATGAAATTTTCTTAGATTTTAGGTAGACTTGCTGAATTTTATTATTATTCAATTTATTTAATTATTCCGAAGATAGTAGATGATATATTCAACTTATTTAATTATTTTGTTCTGTTCATTTATTTATACACTTTATTAATTATACAATTACGTTATTCTTTCAAAATACATGTTGTAATACAAAAATAGGTTTAAAATGAAAAATAATAATATTCCGTAAAGTGCACGCAGTTGCATAAGAATAATACTTAAATATACCACGTTTGCGTAAGTGATATTTTCAACATCATTTGTTAAACTATTATAGCACTATTGATCAGTGTAATAATATGCTCCATCATGGTCGTTTTTTCCTTTTAACAAATCACCTCGCAAGTTCAAAAGATTGGATAAAATATAGGTACATAAACTCCTCGGTTCTCATTAAGCTAATTAATATTTTGAGATCAGTTCGGTGAAGTTTCCTAAACTTTTTGTTACTATTCTGACTATTTTTTTATGAGGTTTCTTGTCACAGTATTTATGAACACAGGTGAAAGTTAATGAAACATCCCTTACACAAAACTGGTACTACAAAATTCTTCTCTTGATCTCATTGTTCATATTTTTCTCAGTTCGTCACTTTTGATTAAGTTGAATTTTATTTTCAAGTCAACGATGAGAATAATTTTTGATTAGCTGTAAAAATTAACATTGTACCTTTACGTCGATTATCATTAATTAAAGAGCTGTATTTTACTTTTCAATTAAGGAGAATAATTTTTGATCTGATCGTAGAAATTTCTATGAAGAAAAGGGCATAGAAACATTTTCATTGGAAAAATTCTATCCGACGAAAGAAAATTCGTAGGATTGATTTGTGATCCGGCAATAAACGTTCCAGCTTCGTGATTTATCATCGCCTCGTCATAGATCGTTCCTCCAGCATTTCTGGAACAAAAGTTCGGGATAACAGCGACCTATTAGCGGCTGTGAAAAGATTAACGAGCAAACTGCAAGAATCTGAAAGATTGATGCGATCATTTTAACAGGATCTCACTGCGATTGAAGTTTCTCTGCTGCAATCGTAACAGATTTCGTGAAACTGTATGATGGACGATGATACGTAACACGTTGCTATGAAAATTAAAGCGAAGTTCTTCGAAAATTTACTTATTAATTCGAAATATTAACTTCCGATCTCTGTGCTCATACGAGATTATTACAGACGAGTTATATTGCTCTGTTGGGTAAAATAAATTTACTCGTGATTTATTGACGCGACACTTGCTATTTGCTGCGAATATTCATGGCGGGATGGTGTTTAAAATTTAATATTTAAAATATTGGCTGGGAATATCGTCTTGTTAGATATATATGTTATGTGGTAAATTGTTGTTATGTTACGGTGCTGAAACTTTTTGTTATTTTGTTATGATTTTAGTGTTACAATGTTTAAATGTTTAATGTTATGGTATTGCAATGATGCAACGTTGAAATGTCAATGTGATACAATTTTTAAAATTTAGAATTTTGCAATTTTAGTGTTTTGCACTTTTTGAATTTTGAAATTTTCGAGTTTTGCAATTTTCGAATTTTGCACTTTTAGAATTTTGCAATTTTAGAATTTTGTACTTTTAGAATTTTGCAATTTTGCGTTTTTACAATTTTGCAATTTTGCAATGTTACAATGTTATAATGTCATAATTTTACAATTTTACAATTTTACAATTTTACAATTTTACAATTTTACAATTTTACAATTTTGCAATTTTACAATTTTGCAATTTTACAATTTCACAATTTCACAATTTTACAATTTTATAATTTTATAATTTTATAATTTTACAATTTTTGAATTTTACAACTTTACCCTTTTCCAATTTTACAATTTTACAACTTTTCCATTTTCCAATTTTACAGCGTTACAATAATGGAATGTTGAAATATTAAAATGTTAGATTGTTCAAATTTTGTAATGTTAAGAAGTAAAAATGTTACGATGTTTCAATGTTAAAATGTTAAAATGTCTAATTGTTAAAATGACAAAATGTTACAGTATTAAAATGTTGCATTGTTACAATAATGCACTAATACAATATTGAAATATTGCAGTGTTACACCGTCACAATTTTCCAATATAAAAAAATTAAAATGTCACAATGTTTCAATATGAAATTTTATCATATTTCATAATATTTTAGAGAACCACTAATGTTTAGAATATCAGATTTCTGCAGTAAGCTCGAACCACAGATGAGCAACAAGTAATCTGATTAACGATCAGTGATTATGTATACATAACGCGAAATCATGTTCATGATTAAGGATTATGATTAATAAGCAATCGAGTAATCATGATGGATGAAGTAATCAAAGCAAACGTAATTACTGAACACGATGAACTCAGTAATTATTAATTACGAAAGATTAATTTAGACAATTAATCATAGTACAGATGAATGATTAACAGGTTTTAGAAATTTTGCATTTATCAGTTAGAAATAATTGAATACAAAAACAACGATAAATATATGATATTTCATGTGATTGCATACAAATTATTATAACAGATTAATTATTCATTCGGTGTTTGCAAATCGCAGAATAATTATTATTTATTTAATGCAATCATGATCACTGATTTATTCCGGGAATTAATTCGCGACTGTCATTACCACGATTTCATTTAAATATCAGTTACAAAATAATAAGTTATTATTGCGAATGTGAGGATCGTTAACAAACGCAGAATAAAAGCAGCGCTTGATAACGTTAATTAAACTGTTTCGAATAAGTATTCCCAGTCGATTCATATGTTCTTCAACTAAAAACATTTCAGATACTTTTACATTGGCTATATAGTGTTAACAATTATTTGATTAAAAAGATCATTTAAAAGAAATTTAATATTTGATCATCAAGAAAAAATATATACGAAAAATTTCTCTGATTCGATAAATGTGACGCACGTATATTGTATGCTTTCGAACACACAATATTAATGATTATTTGATCAAAAATATTATGAAAAAAATTTAGTACTTGATCACCAAGAAAAGATATATACCAATAATCTCCCTGATTCGATATATGGGACGCACATATATTATGTCTTTGAATATGCAACGTTAAAGATTATTTGATCAAAAATATCATGAAAAAAATTTAGTACTTGATCACCAAGAAAAGGCATGTACCAATAATCTCCCTGATTCGATATATGTGACGCACATATATTGTATGTCTTTGACCATACAACGTTAACGATTATTTGATCAAAAATATCATGAAAAAAATGTATACTTGATCACCAAGAAAATATATATACCAATAATCATCCTGATTTGCTATATGTGACGCACATATATTGTATGTCTTTGACTATACAACGTTAACGATTATTTGATCAAAAATATCATGAAAAAAATTTAGTACTTGATCACCAAGAAAAAGCATATACCAGTAATTTCTCTGATTCGATATATGTGACGCACATATATTATGTCTCTGAACATACAACGTTATTTGATCAAAAAGATCGTCAAAAAAATTAAGAACTTGATCAAGAAAAAATATATACCAATTTCTCTGACTCGATATATGTTACATCGAAGCTAGAAACGTAAGAAAAGTGACAAACGCGTGCGGTTGAAGAGTGAAGTATTATCGATAAGAATTGAATCTAGAGCAAACTCCAATGATTTGTCATTTTGATTGTTCACAGTAACAAGTGCCTTAACGAAAAAAGACGACGGAACCAGGAGAACCTGTTTATCGATGAGCTTGCCGAGCTGATTTCCGTCACGGACATGAGCTCTGGCAAGACTGACAAACGCCAGATCCTTCAGAGAACCGTCGACCAGGTAAGAAGACAGATTTCTACGTTTCTGCCTTTCAAATAGCTGATCGATAAACTTAGCAAGTCCTTCGGGATTACCTCGAACGCCTCTTTTTTACCGTACGTTGACCACGATATTCAAGAAATACTCTTTTACGAACAACGGTCACAGGGCTTTTTTAACCCTTAACATCGATTATTTATTACAGGGTGAGGCGTCCAAACTGTTTACCAAAGATATTTAACACTAGGTTTACAGACGTTTGATGATCACTTATATTTAAATTTGAAGTCGAATAGTAAAATAAATAAATTGGGAACATATGCCTAAGACATTCATTCTTTGATTCTTGCCTAAGCTTGATGAAAGTTGACTGCTATAAAAATTTCTTAATCTAGTATTACATATATGGGTAAATTTTTTGCTTTCTCTAAGATGTGGTTTAGTTTTGAATTCAGCATAAACTAAATATTTTTTGGACCACAATTTATAATTTTACCACAATGAAAGGGTTAATTGTCACACTGGGTTATGGAACAGATGAGACCCAAAACAATTCAGCTCCAATTTTATATCCTGACAATCTCTCTTTTTTGAAACTCCGGTATTTTTGCAATTTTTTTTTCTCGAACTATTACATCTCAAAAACATTCAAATAAAATTTTAGCTGTCTATATTAAAGTCGAAAATCATTTTGAACTTCCCTGTGAAAACCATTGTTTCCATTTTTGTACGTTTTTGATCTTTTTTCTTATTAAGTTTATTTTGAAAGGTTCAAATTGTCTGAAGCTAACTATGCAATGTTAAAACAGCTTTCACAGATTATTTGTAAATTTTGTTCAACTTAAAATAGTAGCTTCGTTAGGAATATCTTTAGTTACGGTCTTAAATGTCTTGAATTTCCACAGTGTAAAAAAGAATTGCAATAAAACTTGACGTGAGTTTTCTGCGAATTAAAAACCCATTCCTGGACTTCATTATATTGTCGTACCGTATTATCGGAATATTATAGAGTGCCTGGCGTGAATATCTGTCCGTAATTAAAAGCAACAGTGATATGCTCGATGAGTGAGCAATGTAAAAGGAGAAGAAAAACGAGATTTCAGTGCAAAATGTAGCACAGAATGTAAGTAATGTTGCTCATTAGCATGTTAACAAGTACATAAAACTTTCTCATAAGCAGAACGGACGACCTTCGGGACGCTGACTTGTTCCAAACTTTGCGCAACTATAGTGAACTTCAAAAGCGATAATTCTGCAAAATTACTGCTCGCTCTTTTCCGAAACAAGGGCGATATAATGCGTCCAAAGTTCTTGTTTTAATAACACTGCTGATCTGAATGTTGTGATCCTAACTTTTATGGTTTACATTTCTCATTTTTTAATCTTCGAAATTTCGCTGTTTGGAAATTTTAGAAATTTATAATTTCGGGAATTCTAGAAATTTTACTAATTTTACAAATCTTAGGAATTTTAGAAATTTTAGGAATTTTAGGAATTTTAGGAATTTTAGGAATTTTAGGAATTTTAGGAATTTTAGTAATTATAGGAATCTTAGGAATTTTTATAATTTTAGTAATTTTACAAATTTTAGGAATTTTAGGCAATTCAGGTATTTTAGGCATTTTAGGAATTTTAGGAATTTTAGGAATTTTAGGAATTTTAGGAATTTTAGAAATTTGAAGATTTGTGGCATTTGAGAATTTGAACAATTTAAACATACTAAAGAATTTTTAAATTTGGAAATTTGTCAACTTAAGAATTTAGAGTATTTGGAAATTTGAAAGTTTAGGAATATAAGAATTCATGGATTTAAGAATTTGCAATATTTTGCACCAAGAAATTGAAAATTCTTGAATTTGAAGTATTCAATAATTTCTGAATCATTGAAAAATCGCGAAAATTGGACAGCGTTCCTTCGTAAGCGTTGAATTGTTCGTTCGATTAAAGTTAGCAAGCTGAGAAATTATCGTGGAACGTTTCGCTAGTCCCGCGACTCGCCACGTTATTCTTGAACTCGTCGATCGATAAGGTATTTACTCGCGCGTATCGTTTAAGTGAAATAAAAATTTCAACGCATGCGTCGTATTTTACATTGATTTCTTGGCATACCGGCTGGCTAATGATATTCTTCTTTGCCTCCATTTTTTATTACCGTTAACGGCAAAATTTCTCTGCAACTTCGTGTTCGAATGGATCGATAACATGTCCGGCCATTCTTAACCCTTATCGGACGGGCCACGTACATTTTTCAGATCAATTCGATTAATTAGAATCGTCGCTAGAATTTTTGCGAAAATGGTCGCAGCTTCAAAACCGATTCAATTCGGAAACTAGAGACTTCGTTAAATACAGTAATCCTCGCCTTACGTATTATTGTATACGCGTAAGAAATGACTATTTCTAAACAGTCAGATTTTTAAACGTCCAGTAATTTGCCTATATTCGTGATCGACGAATATTTAGATGCATCCTAACACTTAAAGGACGAGCCACGTAAATTTACGTTCTTCCATTCCGACTTCCTACGAGGGCCCACGTAGATTTACGCTTTTGCTCGAATTTTTATTAAGCTGCGTTACTTTTTCATTTTTACGCATTGGGTTTTTTCTTGTTACCGTTCTAGTACTGTCTGTCGAACTAGTTTTGCTTTTTACCTGGTATTTTTTGGTAACTTCGTAACCGTGAAAATGGCAGGCAGAGTTTGCGAGATATACAATTCGGGTTACACTTCAGGGTGAATGTTTCACAAAATATCGCTCTTAAGAAATACTAGACACGACCCTTGTAAAATTTCATCGAAAATGGATTTAATTTAATAAAAATTTTATCATTATTCTCCATTAATTACTTGATCATTATTCTCGTTTAAATAAAATTTTATTCGACTAATGTGCAGCACCGATTACAAAATTCAGGGTTTTAGATATTTTTTATTTCATTTCGGCGTTCCTTTTCTGATAAGAACTTGTTTGTATCGACCTGTACCTACTGATTTACGTATCGAACGCGAAAAATAAAATCCAACAAACTCGGTAGAAGGATTGCGCGCTGAAGCGGCTCGAAGTGGGTTGATCCGCTTAAAAACCGTAACGCGATATCTCGGTGATTAAATAAAATAATCACTCCTTCCTTTTCTATATTTTATTCGATACATTATTTTATCGTGATAAGTGCTTTATCGGAACAGAACTTTGTACCGCATCTTTGGATTCAACTTTCTTTTCTTTCTCTTTTTTTCATCCAAGTCTACATTCAAAATACGCACGCAAACAATCATGCAATGACATGATCAAAAATCGATTCACAAATCAGTTCTACGAGTTGTTGGATACCTCATGTATCAAGTGTGAAATTAGATCGTTTCTGGTAATTATATTTTACTAATTACCTTTACAAATTTAGTGCAGCATTAAAATTACTACAGACAGTAAATTTGACTAGTTTAGGAAAATTGATATAATAAAATTATTGTAAACAGTAAAATTTATACAGTAAAATTGACTAATAGTAAGTGGCACTAAATACAACAAATATAATACTAAATAGGTAACAGTAATTTTATTATCACTAATAAATAATAATACAATTATTAAACCGAAGATGTGATTCCACAGAAGTGACTATAAATTCATTATAAATTCACATAAATTAGCTTAATGGCTATTCAAGCGATCAAACAACGCTTAAGGAACATTTTAAGTGCTATCAAAATTGTGATTCAAATTTAATTTCAATTTTAATTCAAAATGAGTGAAGATCATTTAATCAGCGTACAGTTAAATGTTAATCAATTTTTCAGCAAGGAAATGTATATAATATTTTCTCCTTTCACGATACGAATATTTGCTAATACAAAAATTATAAACGTCTAAAAAATATTTTGCGAAAAGTTATAGATTAGTACAAAAATTCTTACCTATTATAAAATTTGTTGCAAGAAATGTTCAGTGAATATTTGAACGACGCAATGAATTCTAGGTTCAGAAATCTTTTTTTGTGCGGTATAATTCAATTAGTAAATTAATATACTTATGCAGAAGATACCTTGTACCAGATATGTTGTTTTTTTAAGACGTTATGTAAGAGATTCGAAATAAAAATTATAAATCACGAGTGTACCATAATTATACAAATTAAAGAACGATAGTTAAATAAACTGCACACACATATTGTTAGAAATTATTATGAAGATTAATTGTATAAACGTTAACGTAATTTTAGTTAAATTTCACACGGAGTTACGTAAATGTGTATCTTTACCTTTATTTGTAAGCAGTATCTTATTTTTTATCTTTTATTTCTTGTCCTTTATTTAGATTGATTTTTATATCAATTCTTTTAACGTCCAACATAAATCCTTGTTGCTTCTGCATTTAGATATCGAAAAAAATACGAGTTTAAATGGAAGAAATAACAAATTTTAAATTTACGAGTTTGGGATTTAGAAATTTCATATTCACAAGTTTTTAATTTTAGAAATTTTTAATTTTAAAAAATTTGATGAATTCAACAATTTTTTCTGTGACTCAAAAATTCAGAATTCCAAATTTCCAAAGTTTCCAATTTCCAAAATTTTCAAATTGCAAAGTTTACAAATTCCAAAACTTGCAAATTCCAAAATTTCCAAATTCCAAAGTTTGCAAATTCCAAAATTTCCAAATTCCAAAGTTTCCAAATTCCAAAGTTTCCAAATTCCCAAGCTTCCAAATTCCAAAATTTCCAAATTCCAAAGCTTCCAAATTCCCAAGCTTCCAAATTCCAAAATTTCCAAATTCCAAAGTTTCCAAATTCCCAAGCTTCCAAATTCCAAAATTTCCAAATTCCAAAGTTTCCAAATTCCCAAGCTTCCAAATTCCAAAATTTCCAAATTCCAAAGTTTCCAAATTCCCAAGCTTCCAAATTCCAAAATTTCCAAATTCCAAAGTTTCCAAATTCCCAAGCTTCCATTTCCAAATTCCAAAGCTT